GGCTTCTGTGGCTGCTGTGGCTGCTGCTGTTGTTGTTATTGCTGTTGTTGTAATAACAAAAGTATTATTATTGTTGTTGTTGTTGTTATTGTTGTTATTGTTGTTGTTATTATTTGTTGTTGCTTACAGTTGAAAACCTATAAACAATGAATTTGTTGGGCCGGTCTAATTACAGATTTGGTGGCGATAAGGAATCGGTAATCGTTGTCGTCGTCGTCATCGTTATCAGTATCGACCAAAACAACGACAATAATAACAATAATAACAACAACAACAACTACTACTACAACTACATCTACTACAACTACTGCAACTACAACTACTACTACATCATTAACAACAAAAGCATCGACACGACTTCAAATCATCGTGCAGTCCACTAAAATTCTTTCACTCTTCCTCTCTCTCTTTCTCTCTCTCTCTCTTCTCCTTTTCTTTCTTTTTCTTTTATTTTTTTTTAGTAAATATCTACTTTTTCCACCTCTCTCTCTCTCTCTTGTTTCTTTTGTACTCTCTTCATCTTTTACTCTCTCTTCTCTCTCTCTCTCTCTCTCTCTCTCTCTCTATCTTTTTCTCCTCCCTTCTCTTTCCATCTTGTTTTATTTCTTGCTCTCTCTTCCCCTCTTTCTCTCTCCCATTCTCTCTCGGTGTGATTTTATTTATGAAGCAATTTCAATTCATTTCATAGACGGTTAAATTTTTCCATTTGGCGTGCGGCTTTCTATATTCCATATATTATGTTTTATATCTCTCTCTCTTTCCCTATCTCTCTTTCTCTCTCTCTCTCTCTTGTTCTTCATCTATCTCTTGCTGTTTATTGTCTCTTTCTTTTTTCTTCCTCTCATCTGTACCTTACATTCACTTCTCCGTAAGCATCATTTATATTTTATTAAAATAAAAAGCATACAAACACGAACAATCATTCACATTTAAACGAGGACAAACTCAAAAACGCACACGTACACACGCACACATACATACATGGACAAACACACATACATACACATATATACACACAAACATACATACAATAACATGCACACATACACACATATTTAGATGATTTTTATATTGAATATAAATCATACCATGCAATTGAGTGCTCTTACTTCATTCCACACTTATCTCCTTCACTTTCTCTTTCTTTCTCTCTCTCTTTCTCTCTCTCTTTTCCATCATTTTCTTCCCTCTTTTCTGTTATTCTTCGTTTTTATCTTTCCTATTCGTCGTTATCTCGCTCATTTGTTACCATCCTTTCCATTTTTGTCATTGTCATCATCATTTTTTGTTACTGATATTTGTGAGTAAGTTTGCATGTGCTTGTACGTTTGAGTAAGTGTGGTTGTACGTGTGGTTGTATGTATGTATGTATGTATGTATGTATGTATGTATGTACGTATGTATGTATGTATGTATGTGATCTGTGTGTGTGTGTGTGTGTGTGTGTGTGTGTGTATGTGTGTATGTACGGGTGTGTATATCATTGTAATGACATTTGAAAGGACGCAATGCGTGTTTAAACCATCATAACGACCAAATGCATCAATAACAATACTGTCATATTATTATTGCCATTTTCAACATTTCATAATAATAATAATAAAAATAATAATTATCATCATCATAATTGTAATAATCATTATCACCATCTTTACCATCATTACCATCATCATCTTTATCTTCTTCTTCATCATCATCATCATTATCGTCGTCATCTTCATTATCAATGTAATAATCATTATCATCACAAAATCTCTCCCCACTTTATCACGGCCGTTTCTTATCATCATTCTTCTTGGCAACAATATCATAGCCAGTGACGGCATCCATCACGCCATGGTCGCAGCAGCAGCAGCAGCAGCACCAGCAGTAGTAGTAGCAGTAGTAGTAACAGCAGCAGTAGTGGTAGTAGTTAGAGCTGCCGTAACAACAACATCCTAATCATCGACAACAGCCAAATCATCATCTTCATTTTAAATATCTACTATACGTTAAGCTTGTTCACAAATTAACTTCGGGGAAGAAAGAAAGAATGAAAGTAAAAAAGAAAAAAGAGAGAGATAGAGAAAAAAAACAAGAAGGAGAAAGTAAGAGAGAGAGAAAGAGAGAGAAAGAGAGAGAGAGAGAGAGTGAAAGAATTTCACATTAGTTCCTCTGACGCGTAAGTAAAAACAACGACATTAAAACGAGAGCAACAAACAAACCCGACCCAATAAAAATAATAATAACAGTAACAAAATGACAACAACAACAACAAAACAACGACAACAATAATAATGCTAATAATAGCAACAAAATTAATAACAAAAACAACAATAATAGCATCATCACCATCAACAACAACACTGGCCATCGCATAACTTTAAGATTCGATCGATTTATTGTTTTTGGAATCGCGGCCGATGACCCGCACATGCGCATTTTGCCGGAAGCGACGAATACCAAAGATCGCGAATAAGCATTACATGCGCCTGAATTATGAACTTCCTTTTCCGGTTTCTTTTTTTCAAGATGGCGGCTCGTATTAATTTTGGAGCAGTCCTACGTGATGTCATTACTGCTGATGCGTGTTTTGTTGTTACGGTTGCTGTTGTTGATGTCTTTGGTTTTGATGTCATTGAAATTGTTGTCTATGTTGTCGTTGTTGATGTCGTTTGTTTTTATATTGTTGTTGTTTATTTTTTTGCCGTTAATGTCATGTAGTGACAATAAAAAATGTTGTTGTTCAGCTAATGTTAATGTCATTGCGTTATTATTTTTGTTCGCTGTTGTTATTTCTCATTGTTGACATTATCGATGACGTCATCGTTGTTGTTGTTGTTGTTGTTTTCATATGTGCTCCGTCAAACTATCAACTCATACAAAGTCCCAAACACACATAAAAACGCGCAAACAAAATGACGATACTAATTATAACTAATTATACACACAAACAACACAAATCACACCTCAATATCAACTAAACTGAAACATAAACTCACACGTGTGTGTGTGTGAGTGTGTGTTTGTTATAAATACTCGTACGTACACTCTTATAAACACATTAAAATACACACAAACAAAACACACACACACAAACGTTAGCCTACTCGACACGACACACACTCTGAAGACACGACGCTCACTCCCTCCGATGAACAATGTACAATGAAACAGTGAATAAGGATTCACATTTAATGAGTTTAATCTCACACGAAGCCCGTTAAAAAATATCCATTAAGCAATTCTATTTTCTGTATGTTTGTTTTTGTATAAGCGTGCATGTGTGAGCATGTGTGTGTGTTTGTGTGTGTGTGTGTGTGCATGTGAGAGTATGTCTGGATTTGTATGTGTGAGTGTGTCTGGATTTGTATGTGTGTGTATGTCAGGATGTGTATGTGTGTATATGTCTGGATGTATGTGCGTTTTTGTGTGTACGCCATTGCGA